TTTCCCTCCTTGTCTAATGGAAATTGATTTGACTCATTTCCTGATTTTACTCCACCTTTGCCTCTCAGTTTCTATTATTCCTGAGAGCTTGGCTGCCTGAATTCCTCTTCTCCTTGGCTAGATGAGTCATATCAGCTGTGAAGCCCACTGTTCACATGCATCCTTGGCATTTCAAATGCTACTTTGACTCACCAAGGCCTCATACTCACCAATCAACAGAAAACTTCCAAGTGGGTGCTAACACAAGCCTCTGTCACTGAAATTGCAACTATAATTTATAGTGTGGTTCTTGTCTCATGGTTGACAACATTTTATTCTAAAACCCACAAAGCACATGTTGTTGGTATTGTAGTTAACCTGAAAGTCAGACTGAGATGGGAGGAAAGTGAACTGAATTGTTGTTGTTATGTCTTTAGGCAATCTCATTTCTTTTGTAGATGTGTCTCTTCTCTCTTGCTACTTCTCCTTTGTGAACTTACGTACTGATCTAACCTTTGGGGTTTCTAAATCTGACTTGGTTTATTTACTGCCATTTGTTCTCTTAAGAACCCTAAATTTGATTGAATAATGTAATACATGGATGAGTATTACCAGAAGCAGAAATTAGAAAGCAGTATTTTAAAAAATAATTTTCAAAATATGGACTTTTTCTACCTGGCTTTGAATCTTGCCTATCCCATTTATAAACTGTGACACCTTGAGTATCCTATTTGAACCTCCATTTTCTCACTGGTAAAATGAAGAGGTAATGCCTACATTAAGTAAATATTAAAAATATCAAGTGACATACTATATATATATATATATATATATGTGTGTGTGTGTGTGTGTGTGTGTGTGTGTGTGTGTGTGTGTGTATAGACTAAGTATCATGTTTTACATTCAAAAGCATTCTAGAAAATTAAAATAGTAACAAGGGTTACTATATCACTCAATATGTGAACCTGTATTAGCCATTAAATATCTCTATAACTTTTATTCTCTATATATTTTTGTATTACAGATATGTAAAAAAAAATTGATTAGTTGATATTTTGTTGTAATTATGGCTTAAAACAGTGAAAGGATACAAATCAAAATCAGCAAAAGGGCCGGGCATTGTGGTGTATGCCTGTGTATCCCAGTGGCTCTAGAGGCTTGTAAGGATCGTGAATTCAAAGCCATGCTCAGAAACTTAGTGAGACACTTTAGCAACTCAGTGAGACCCTGTCTCTAAACAAAATATTAAGAAGGGATATGGATGTGGCTGAGTGATTGAGCGCCCCTGGGTTCAATCCTCATTACCAAAAAGGAAAAAAAAAGGCAGGAATTTCAAAATGCATTCTGCTGTCATATATATTTAATTAAAATTAATTAATTAATTTTAAAATCAGCAAAGGGAAAAGACACATGGAGAGAAATCTAGAGAGCCCATGCACACACACTTTCAGGCATATCTTCTCAGTGGAGTAACCTAGAGATACATTATTAAGATAAATTTAGTTGGTTACACAGACATGCCACAGACCAAGGGGTCAGGCTTACAAAATCATTATAATCAGGCAGAATAATCCAGGGGTTCAGCTTCTCCCTCTGGAGTATAAAGGATATGGAAGTTTTGAGTCACCCAGCCTACTGAGTTTACATTTTCCTTACCCCAAACTAATATGAGATGTGAAAAGCTGGGAGAAATGTGTGAAGGCCATATGCAAACTCTGTACCTGATTTTCAATTTTTCTGAAAATCTAAAATTGCCTTAAAAACAAATTCTATTTTTTAAAAAAATCAACATCTAAACAGAGCAATAGTCATGTAAGTTGTTAAATATTCAGCCCCAATAGAGGTTTTTTTGTTTGTTTGTTTAATTTTTCATGATATACAACACCAGAATACACCTTGCTATAACCACAAAAGCATTGAGCATAACCTGTTCCAGTTCCACCCTGGCTCTCCCCCAACCTACCTCCACTCCCTCCACTGCATGGATCCCTTTCCAATCCATTTATAGTTTACCTTCTTTGTGTTTTAATTGGCATCCTGTAGATACACATGATGCCAGTAACCACTGTGTCATATCCATGCACACACTTACGAAAGTTTGGTCAGATTCATCCAACTATTCTTCTCTTTTTGTATCCCTTCTTTCTCTTCCTCAATCCCTACTCTACTGATTTTTCCTGTTTTGATGAAATTCCCTTTCCCTTTTTATTTTTTCCCTTCTCTTCCCCACCCCTTATTTTTGGATTAGCTTCCTCATATCAGAGAAAACATTCAACCTTTGTCTTTTGGGGACTGCTTTATTTCACTTGGCAAGACAGTCTCCAGTTCCATCCATTTAACAGCAAATGTCATAATTTTAATCTTTTTATGGCTGAGTAATACTCCAATAGTGTTTTAACACTTTTCCAATGGATTTAATTGAAAGAGATAGTACTATATAAGAGATATGCCTTGGCCAGTGCCTTTAAAATTTCTAATGAGTTTGTGTTTAAAAGATTGAACTTTTTCTCAGTGACACTAGCTAAAATGTTGGAGGAAATAACAATGTCTACCAATAGATAAATGGATAAACAAGGTGGAATGTTATTCAGCCATAAAACAAGAATATAGTACTAGTACATTCTATGGCATGAATGAAACTTGAAAACATTATGACAGTAGCTACATACATAGGACCACATATTGTAGGATTTATATGAAATATCCAAGCTAAGCAAATCTACATAGCAGATTAGTAGTTTCTAATGAAATAAGAGTAGCTGAAAATGGGTATGGATGTTCTCCTTGAGGTGATGAAAATGTTCTGGAATTAGCAGTAATGGTTACATAGCCTTGTGAATATACTTTTAGAAGAGTGAATTCTTGGTGTTTGAATCATATTTTGATTTTTAAAAAGTTCTTCCTTACAAACTTTCAGGTTAAATTTTACTAATAATATGCTGTCTTTTGCATACTAGATGGGAACACATATCCACTTATTTTAAATAAATTCTAATGCATCTGAGTGTCTCCTTTAAACACCTTCCTTAATCTCCTTCCTTTCTCACTCCATTCCACACATGTGCAGAATCTGTTTTTATATAGTACACACAGGTTAAGACCTTAAGAACTCTTTTTAATCTCACTTGTCCTAGATTTGTTGCATCAGTGAAATTCGTATGACTACCATGGCTTATTTAGATCTTATAATATGTGGATAAAACAGATTGAATAACCTAGTAGTTATAGACAGGCAGTAGAATCCACCTGCTGAATTTCTACACTTCTCTAGTTGAAAGCTTGATAAATGATCACTACTATTAGTCAAGCAATAAAGCTTGACCTAATTGAAAACAACAGGTTTGGGTGGTTTTTCAGTTTGTTTGTTTGTTTGTTTATTCGATAGTTACAGAATTGTGTGCAACCAATGATATAATTATAGTAGTTACTGAAGGTACACATAGAAGTCAGAACGATGTTTTGATATTGAATTAAATCAAAACTCCTGTCCTAATGGAATTTGATAATGTAAACCGTGACAAAGATACTTTATTTCCCTAATGTAGTAAGATTTGTAATTTGAAATGTAAAATGAAGTCCAATATCTGTATATCTTGATTTATTGATTTTCCATTTGTTATCAATTTTTTCTATCTTAAATTTTGCTGGCATCAAAAGAATCCGTTATGTAAACAAACTTTTAAAATGATTTCTGTATATGGTATATGTAAAATGGCTTTAACTGAACAGCTTATCTTCCACTTGCAAGCATATGGAAATATCAGCATATCAAAATAAAAAGAATGTCATTAGAAGAATGGATTTATTATTTTGAACACTTTATGAAAATCCTTTTGTTTCTAATGGTGGGCATCCAACTGAAGTTTCTGAGTTATAGCCGTAATATTCTCACTAGAACATCTTAGCTAGTAGTACCACTCATTTATAAATACAATGTTCAATCTGTTTTTTGAATTTGGAATGTGGAGGTATAGTTAAAGGCATGGAAGATTTTACTTTTAATTTTGTATTAATGCCATCATCCCCGCTATTTAACTTCTTTGATGTCACCATCTTTATATCTTCATTTTTTCAGGCTGACATTCACCAGTATGCTTCTTTTATTTTTTAAACATTGTTTTTAGTTGTATGTAGATGGATGCAATAACTTTATTTTCCTTTGTTTACTTTTATGTGGTGCTGAGGATAGAACCCAGGGCCTCATGTGTGCAAGGCAATTGCTCTACCACTGAGCTATAACCCTGGCCCAGGATGCCTTTTTTAAATCCAGAACACATAATGGTGTGAAAGGACTGTAAAATAAGGGCAACTTTAACATGAAGATTTAAGAAAAATAAAATTTCCTCTAGTTGTTTTTTTTTGTTTTTCCTTTAAACTAGTACACTAATAATGTTGTAACAGAATAAAATAGTATTGTAAAAATGTGCTTGTTCTCACTCCCCCCACCCCATTAAATATCATATTTCACTGGAAAAAATATAATCATTGTTATTACATGTGCATGCTTGCTATGTTAATAAATAGTGTTAGTTGTTGGTTAATTCAAGTAAACTGTTGCAAGTGGCAGAGCAGAAGTCATGAGTGGCTCAATGTGACCAGCCCTAACTCAGCATAGTGACTTTACACACAAAGTCATGATGGGGGAGCAGGCATCAAAGAACAGATTTTCCTTTAAATAAGCATTTTTATTAAAATAATACAAAGCTAAATCAAATAAAACCATTACAACAATAATTTGTGAAGTTAATCTTCTATTTTTCCTGGTTTAGGCCTGTATACATTTAAAATAACCTAAAAGATATTCATACACTAAAAGAATTACCATATAGTATCTTTTAATGTAATAATATACATATTGAACTTTCCTTTTCATTGACTATCTTTTAGTCTCTCTGTTAATCTTTTAATAAAAATTTAAAAAACTTTTTTTTATAGTATTTATTCCTCTTTTAATAAAGTTGAGGACACAGGTGCTTAAAGTTAATCACGCATGCTCCATTGGAGGATTAACAAATTTACTTTTAACTGATGGACTTCAACTTGATCCATTGATTCGGACCACGAATTTCAAAAGGTGGGTTACTGTTGTAAAGATGGAAGCCTAATTCACCCAAAGGTGATTCCGGATCAGTTATAGCAAACTGGGCTGGCTCCTCAACTTGTTTCTTCACGTTAGCTTCGATTTCCATCAACTCGTCCATACTGGTGAGCTTGTCCTTTACCATTGTCTCCTGGAGAAGCAAAATAGGGTCCTACTGACTTCTTACCTTCTGAACTTCTTCCCGTGTGCAGTACTGAATCCTGGATCACTTGTACCATGGTCATGATAACGGTAGGTCTGCAACTCCATCAATATAGGCCCCTTTCCAGATCTACAATAGTCATCAACAAACTTTGTCGCCTCCCAAACACACTTCGAATGTCCAGCCCATCTACCCACAGCCCAGGCATAAAATTGTCTGTCTTGTAATATTCAGTGTTGGCTGATGCTCTCTCAACAGATGTCCCCAATCCATAGAGATGATTCTCACAGATGAGAACACAGAGTAATTTCCACAAGGCTGCCACATTGTGTGCTTCCGCTATCTGGCCCTGATTAGCAGCACCATCCCCATATAAAATCAAACAGATCTCATTGTTTCCCACATGGTTACAGGCCAGGGCGACACCAGCTCCTAGGGGCACCTGTGCCCCCACAATGCCATTGCCCCCATAGAACTTACTGGAATACAAGTGCATCCAGCCTCACTTTTCTTTAGCACAACCTCCTCTCGGAACAGTCAGCTCTGCCAGAACAGATCTGATGCTAAGTCCCCAGGTGTAGCCCATGCCATGATAGGATGTGATGACATGATCCGAGGGCTTTATTCCTGCCTCAAGCCCCACGTAGCAAGCTTCCTGACCATCATACAAGCGACAGAAACCGCGAATACATTTCTGTTTATACAGCTGATCAGTTCCCCTGCGGGAAACCACCTGCATTGTCCTGTAGTATTGGGTCCCATCCTCCCTGGTGAGTACTGTTGCGACAGGAGGACCCTCTTCCAACCCCTAAAGGTCGCAGCTCTTAATTTCAAACTTAACTTCTTTTGAAAAGTTACAAGAAGCCAGCAGCCCTCTGCAAGCCAGCTTCTGGGTGAGCCCCGACAGCACGTGGGACACCGTGGTGGCCAGCATCTTCCTCCTGGTAGCAATGGAGCTGGGCTGCTGCGGCTCACGACCAGCCCCGCGGGGCTGGCGGGTGGGCGGGCTGGATTGCGTCTCCTTCTGGGCCCAGGGTACAGGGTGCCACCATCATGGCGCCAATGCAGCGGGACCGAAGCCTGCTGGGCGCTAGAATGCCTGCATTGACCGCATCATGCAGTCCCACGCTACTGTAAAATCAGACATAAGGTCGCTGCTTCTGCTTGAAGATTTGGCCTCAGGGGCCTAGAAGGTAATTATCACCTTCATTGTTAAACTGGGATCATCTCAGTCCCTCTTCCCTGTTCAACTCCACAGCATCCAGCATTGCTCCTCAAAGTTTCTCTTCATGGATGGTCTACTCAAGAAGGACAAATTCAGTCCCTAAAGCACACAAGAGGCTGGATCAAAAATCTATCATCTTAGGAAGAGTTTTGAAAAGCCTTGTTTTTGATGTTTAAAATACATGTGAATATTTTATCCTACTCCATAATATGCCATACGTATTTTAATTAAAGGGTCTAAATTTTTAATAGTTCAAATGATCAGCTCTCTTCAAAACAACCTAAAAAATCCACTGTTAAAAAAAAAAAAAAAAAAGCTAGTGCTCCTAAACAATATGCTTTTAACATCTGCCTCACCTGGGGGTGCAGGGAGTGTACACAAACCTCAGCCTGAAAATAAGGGTCTAATTCCAATAATAATCTTTGCATATGAATCTGGAATAATATAATAATCTGGAATAGGAATAATATGGTATAGGAAAAATAGAGGCAAGGATGAGATGCAGACTCTGGTAAAAGTCTGGTGCATATATGATGCACCCATTTTCCTTATCCTTTTAAGGAATTCTGAAACCTTTTCAGTCCTATCCCTATTTTTTACTATCTTTTTGTTGTTGTTTCAGGATTTTTCTTCAACTGAAATATGTCTCAAACAAGTTCCCATAGACTTAATGGCATTGTTTTTGGGGTGTTTGGTTGATTGAGTTTTGTTTTCATCTTTGTTTTTCCTTTTATAGCAATCTAAATTGGACCAGCCTTATCTGGGGAATGGAGAAGCATGCTCTTATAATGCCTTTTTTTTTTTTTTTTTTTTTGGTAGTAACAACAGCAAGTGCAACTTCTCAGAAAGTGATCCATGAAATGAAATGTAGTTTGAGTTAATTGCAAGAGAGCAAAAATTTGCTCAAACCACTAACAGTTTAATCATAAGACAGAAAAATTCTTAGGCCCAGGGTTGCAAAGGTATTATTTTATTTGTTGTGTTTTTCTTTTTTTTTCTAACAAGGTGATATTATATCCCAATAAGACAACTGTAATCAGGGATCTTATTTGGGTAAGAATATTAAACAATTCTCCTTAATATGTTTTTTCTGTTTTATATCCATTGATATAAATTCTTATCCAAATTTCCCTATTAAACATTTAAAGCAGTTGTCTTCCTTATATCTAGTCACAACTTTTACTTGGGGCACTTCTTTTGGTATTCAGGCAAGGAGAAGAAAATAGCTTGTTAAAAAGTTATGATGCCTCTTAATACTGGATCCTCTTCCCATTTCCAATGGGCCTCATCTTTTACTCCATTTAAAATTCAACTGTTGGAATTTGTGGTCTTGCAGTCTTGCTGTGTTGTTTGCTCCCTCTTTGATAGTTAGCCTGTCTCTGCTGTTCTCTTTCATTCCTGCAGGTATTGGCGATCTCCGGGGAGCATTATCTCCATAAGAATGAGAAAAATGACACTGCTGGATGGACCAGCAGTGTTAATGGGTCACTGAGTGACAGCTGAGCCTTCTCTCAGAGGCATCAGCCAGGCTAGTGCTGCCAGGAACACAAGAGCTATAGAGTAAAGTGTGCCAATTTAATCTTGTCACATGTAGCCTGGGCTGCAAAGATAGAGCTCCCCTTAAAAGCCCAGTGTGACAAGGCTAAAGCCGACTTATGACAGAGGAGAACAAGCAAAGATGCTAATTTGAAAATATCTGTACTACAGGTTCCCTAAGAAGATGGCCTTTTTAGGCAACAGGCTCCAAATAATAAAACGTGAAACTTCCAGGAACCTCTTGGAAGGTTTTGCTCCATATATCCCAAATTCAACTTAAAAATAGGTGACTGAAATTGAACTTGCAGATTTTGATGTTGAAGTATTTTGGTTAAACTGAATAATCATGGTAGTGGGTTGTGGATTTTTATTTCTGTCTTCCCAAATGCAGCCACATTTTCAAAGTTAAAGTGAGATTTCCAGACATCAGTGCAAAATTTCAAAACTGGCCAAGGACATCCTAAACTGTTGATCTCTCCTCTTGTATCCTCCCAGCTGGACAGGATACATACTCCACATGGGCAACAAATGATAGTGTTCTTTTCTTCAAATAATTCATTTTTCATCTTGTCATGGTTCAATACCAAGTTTATTACTAAACAGAACTAAGAAGTCATCTACATGTTCACCACTGAAATGTTGTTTGCAATTACAATTCCTCATAAATTCTAAGTTTTTAATTAATGCCAAGTCTTACGTTTAATCTGCTTGAAATTAAAGGAAAGCAGATGAGTACTTTTATAAGGCCAATGACAGACTTTATATTTAATTAATAAAAAACCTAATAAAAGTAGAGCCAGTGATTATAGTAGCAGTCATTCATGCCAGTGTGACAGCATTTCACATTTCATGTCTGATGCTTGATCCTACAGGGGCATTTCTGAATTTATCTTAAAAGTGTCACTCCCCCTGCATTAGTAGCAATAAAATACTTTTTAATAACAGGCAAGGGTATGTTGGAAAAAAGAACAGCTAGCATATTTGAAAGATATTTACATTTCTCCAGTAAGAATTGCACTTTTCACCAAATGTTAAAAAAGCTGCTAAAGAGTGAATATGTTCTAGATAAATAATATCAGATCTCACTCTTATTATATGATTAGCAGTAATGTATTTTTTCATAGTTCTAAGATTTGGCAATTAAAAGTAATGAGTAAGTACTTGGTGTAAAAAATTAAGAGTTATATATAACTCAGAAAGGATTTTTTCCCATTTGGTCTATAAACTTTATCTCTCTTGGAGAAAAGGGAAAATGTCAGTATCATATATTTTACAAAATAATGACAATCAAACAAGGTTCCACTCTAAAGTTACAATAAAGAAGGTTACTCCAGAACATTGGAGAGCCTTAGGAAAAAAATATATCTATATTTTTTTCTGCTTCTCCTCATGCCCACCATATTTTAAATATCGTTAAGTAAAAATTCAGGATAAATTACCAGGTAGAGAGGACTGGATTGGAAATAAGAAGAAAATAGGGAGTGTTCCTTATTCTAAGTGGATAATGATGGAGTGATCAAAAGAACAATATTGAGTTAATTTTTGAAGCACTGATGGGGTTACCTTCATTCTCCTGTGGATGACCACAGCGATCCATGAGTCCTCACACTAAAAGTACCCAATCAGTTATCCTAGAGTTGGGGACCCAGGTATAGCAGATATGATAAAAGAGACCAAAATATAAAATATAAAGAAAGTAAACTCCCAAGCATTCAGCAACCCATATTAAAGCTGTAGCTGAATGTGATCAAGTAACATAAGAAATAAAATTTCATGTATGTAATCTGATATCAAGATTTGCTATGCTCTAGTGTCTCAACGGGTAGAGAGTTGTGGAGGACTCAAAAGTTTTGAACTGATTTCTGCTCTGAATTTTGAGTGATTTTGTAAAGGCATAATTCTTATTCGAAATAAAAATCAGTAACTCAATAAATGTTCCTGACAAATCAGAGCAATTTTTAAGAAAATCCAAGTCAGATTTAAAATTTTTATACTTGTTTCAAAGTGTTTTATTCATCAGATTTTAATTCTCACTCACTTAAAACTCCAGGTCTCAAAATTTTATTCTGCAAATAAATATACACTTTTCCCTAGTAACCTTGATTTTAATAGCAATAAAGTATATATCGAATGTGATGGTGAAATAAGGGCTTCTCTTCCATGTGCAACCAGTCTTTTGTAATATATTAGTTTCCCTTTAACTGTACCATTTTATATTTTCTTTATAAATGCCTTTCCACAACTCTTCCTTCTAATGACATTGAGTAGAATATTACTAGTTTCTAACATCAGTGAGCCCATTTGATAACATAATTCACACATTTATTTCCTTTGATTTGGCTTTTTTGGAGACGACCTAAGAGTCACTGACATAGGTTTAAATAGAAAAGAAGAAAAGATTGGCAAAATTCCAAGGCGCTGCTGCCCCCTAGAAGGAAGTTTGAGCAGTGCACTTGACCAAAGCAGACAAACCTGAAGAAACAGAGGAAGAGAACAGATTGTGTGCCCCACTTTAAATACAATCTACTCCTGACCACATCTTGATTTTCTTTGCCCTATCCTGTGCTAAGCTATGGTACAATACTACCTATCATGTTCTAAACTTGGATGGTACCATCCCATAGATTCAGAAGAGATTCCTGTATGTATTTGAATGTGTACGGACATGCCAGCAAATTTTTTTCTTGGCAAAATATTTTGAACAATGAAGATAAAATTTAGGTTTTATATGTATTCATTTCAGATTTAAGGCATTGTTGTAAATATTTCCAGGCCCATGTACTAGATGTATAATTTTATAAAAACTTGACACCACAATATCTTCATGAAATTTTACTACCACAATTTGTGCAAAACATTGCATCTCTTTGCTCTAGCAATGAAGTTAACAACATTTTCCCATTTTACTCTTACAGTGTCCGGTAAGGCAGTTATTCTCATTCCAATTTTCACATGAGGAAACTGAGGCCTAGGAAGTTCAGGTGATAGACAAAATTTATAAACCTAGTAAAAGAAAACCAGCAAAAATATTTAACATCCCTTATTCATCAAGCACACACGAACTACTTTCCTGTATATGTCCTCTTTTGTATTAAATAGTAAATATAAAATAAAGACACACAATAAAATCCCCCTTTTCCTGGGAATTTTTCCTTAATCCAGGTCATATGGAG